TCACTGGATGTTGAGATATCGGGTTCCAAAATGACAGATTCATTTTTAAAATTTCCGGTAATATACTGTAGGGGTGTGTAACAGGGTTATCCCTAAAATTATATCTTTAATCGATTAATTAATTTATGCATTGCCACTCAGAGGAAAAAAAGCAAAGAAGAGGAGGAGGAAACTCCGAAAAGATATTTTTTTACAATAATCGTAATCACAATTCTTCAAGATCTTGCTCGAATTATATTATCAACGTAATCAACATCAGAATAATGAACAAGGACGCAAGTTTAGTTATTGATTTAGTCGGGACTCTTATGAACAGATCATCTCAAATAATTGATTCATATCAGCTGTCGTATAATCATGATCAAAGGCACATCTACAGATCAGCTTCAAGTTAGTTGCTCGTCATCAATAAAAGTTCTGATATAGGAGCAGCAACTAGTAACATTTATCATAACAAAGTAGCATCATCAAAAGAAACAATATTATCACCTCAACCACCATATTCAATTTTATTATTGTTTCGCGCAAATTTTGAGTAACTGGTTTTGAGAAGTTGTGGGGGATGACCACATATAAAACGTAGTGGGTTGAGGCCAGTTGTGGATAATTGGCAGACGTTGGTGGAGTATAGCATCGCGTCGATCAATGCAGTGATTGAGAGGGTAATGCTTCGCGCAGCATATAGCTGTGAAGCTAGCATCTTATGGAGGAGAAGGTGAGTTAAGGAAGAGCCAGCGGCTGCAACGACCGAGGATATTATATTGTTTTATTAATTTAATTTTTTTGATTTATTTTTATCTTTTATAATTGATATACAATAGTTGACCTATTAAGCTGCAAAAGTAATCTTTTTTATCTTGGGGATTAGAGGCCAAAAGGGACGCCCGCCGCCAAGGTTCAGGCCGATTACGACCAGATTATAGGATGCTTCCTTTTCTTGTTCCAAAAGATCTATCCGGTGACGTTGCAGATTGTGGATGTTTGGAGCTGTGAGTGATAGGTGAGAAAACGTTTATATACCCTCTGACGATCTGACGTGGCAGAGTTTTTTAAACATTCATCATAGTTGTTGGTCAGGGAGCAAATGCACACTGATTAGGTGCATCATCGGGAGCAGAAGTTGGTGATTGCAGTTGCTGAAAAAGGTGACAAAATTCAGGAAACATGCCAGGTGGGTAAGTATAAAGTTTGGAAATCTTTCGCAAATTTATTCCAAATGCAAATTCGTTATTTTTAATATTTAATATTGCCCACCTAGTCATAGATAAATAATTTCGTCGTTGCGGAGGCTTACATCGTTATAGACTCTTTCCGTTCATATATCAAAAAGTTGGTCGCCGAATGCAAACTTCTTCCACACCAGGGAGAGTGTGAGCGTCACTTAAAACTTCTCTTGTTGGTCAGGAGAGGATTGAAAACCGCTCGGAGGATGGTGGTCATCTTGCTTTTACTGTTCGAGTGATTATATTTTGTTGTTCAAAAATTGTATTTGTATTTACACTCCCAAATAAGTGTTTAAAATCATTTTTTTTTACAATTGAGCATTTGTGGCGCGAACTAGAAAGAAACTCTAGAAAATGTGTTTCTTTAACCAAAAAATCTTCAAGAGCTTGAAATCGCATTAAAAGAGGAATGGATATTTAATTGTGTATATTGTTAGTTAACAAAATATTAAAAATAAATACTTATATTGGAGGAGTTACCTTTTCAGTTCAGGAAAATGAGACGATTAGAAGTTTGTGCAATAGATAAATGTGAATATACAATATATTTCTTTGAAAAATGTAAAAAATCCATCATCATTTCAAATTCATATAGTGCATACAACCTATCACATCCAATCACATGATCACAGTCTCAAATTCAAAAATTTTGAACACATGATAATTATCCAATAGAACTGACAATTATGTTTTAAACAAAATGACATTTATCTTTTGATCTTCAAACGAAAATGTCCAGCACATGTAGTAATATTTTGAGTTATCAGGTGAACTTCCCGAAAAAATATCATGTGCCAAACCATAAATTCCATCACGTGATGATTTCAGAATTTTTTGATTGGTTGTTGTGGGTGGCTCTGCTCAGTCATGTGGCTTATGACCTGTTTCAAATTAATGGCTATTACTCTATGAAAAATTAAGTAAACTGAAATTAGCTTTCATAAACTGGAAGCTGGTGAGCTATGTTATAAATATATGAAGAGTTTTTTTTAGATACATCTGTTTTGTAAAAGGGTGAAAAGGTTTAAAGTTGATCAAAAATTTATTGATGTGACTAGGTTGTATGCACTGTACATACGATGCATTCGTGGAGAATGTTGAAATACTTCTTTTTAATATCGATATGAGGTTTAACCCATAAGATTGTGGTCGGTATCTTCTGCTCTAACCTTATATAGTTATACCTGATTTAAATAACGATAAGACAAAAATTACGCACAGAAAAGAAGGTTAATTAAAAAATTCACCAAATCTAAGAAATATCACGCAATTTATATAATTCATGACGCAATGTATTTAGATTGATTGGTAGACACTTTTTTTGTTACTTTTATTGAAATAACAGATATAATATGGTTATACTAGTAATATATGAATAAATAATAATAGATAATAAAGAATGTATTGATATTAATTTATCCCTTCTTGTCAAATTACTTGTCTTTTAGTTTTTTCTTAAACTTTATTGCCTTGCGACAAGCTTCCAAATTAGCGTATTCTTGTTCTCCAAGGAACAATGCCATTTCGATTTCCTCAGCAGTCAAAAGTTGGCCGTAAATCCGTTGATCATGCATATTTGTAATTTCTTTTTGTTCTCGACGACGACGTTGTATTCGATATTTTTCCTTCTCGTTATCGTAGATTGACTCAGTTGATGAGGAGAGTTCAGTTTTTGGGTAGTTAGCAGTTCTTGCTGTTGTTGTGGTGAATTGATTATTATTAGTGTCGTTGTTCAAAGATTTGCGTGGGAATGAAGTTGTAAATTGTGGTGGTAATAAGTTTTTGGTGTTTGGCATCACTGGAAATCCTTTTAATATATTTGCAAAAGTTGGTCGCTTATAAGTTTCGATAAATTCATAATTTTCATCTTCGCTTTCTTCTGATGACGAGGAAGAGAATGAAAAGTCAGGATTTAAGATGTCACTGTTATTATTATTGTCGGTGTTAATACTAATTGATTTGGTTGTGAGGCGATTTGCCAAGTCGAGATCTTCTTCGACTTCCCATTCGAAAATTTCTTCCCAGGTTTCGTTTTCCATTTGTGTTGTTTTTTTCGAGGTGGTAGTTGCTATTGTTGTTATTGCTGCTAGTGATTAGAATATACGGTGTAAATATTGATTAAATGACTTTATTGTTAAGATGTATTGAATTTTAAAGTTTGTATTGTAAATGTTTAATTGAAAAAAAAAGAATCTATCCTGCTATCCGGTCTATTTATAATCGGAAATTATATAATATTGACATACAGGCGTAGTTTAAGAGAACAATGGCGTAGTATTCACAAAATCCGCGAATTATTAGTACATGTATTATGATTACACAAAGAAAAATTAACAAATACTTGTTTGTATGCTATTTCAACACGCGTGCTGTATAACAAAAATGAAATGCAGATACACAAATACGCAGGAGGAATACGATCTTTGATATGCGTCAACATTTCTACATGTACTTTAAGTTTAGGTTTCTTAGCATTTGTGAAACCTTTGAACTAATTGAACACAAGTAAATTGCCGCAACAGTTCGGGCACAGTCGGACATATTCAAAAAGTGTCATATTCCTATGTACTGTACATGCAAACTTTTTTCGTATTATTTGTACTATTTGCGGTGTTTAAAAGTGAGTCATGTCAATTACATAATTATTACACCTAGAACATCTTGTCTTAAAATTTTCAGTGCATTGAATTCATGTCTATATATTTTAATTCATGTTGTATTATTTGACTTTTACACAGTTAAACCTTGATATAACGATATGATGGGATAATTAGCCTAAAATTCCGCAAATCTCGTTATATACTGTAGAAAGAAACTGTTTTTGGGTTGTCATATATATTTAATGGCTCCAAAGGTATATAAAGGGGAACTCTTGACCAAAAAGTTGGAAATTAAACATCAATGAGCTATAAGAAGAAATGATAATATTTTTGTTTAAATGCTTGTATGCATTGTTACGATTTGAAGTCTTATGTGCTTCAGTATTATTCATTAAATTTCATACATCCGTACATCTTACATTTTTATTTTATAATTTGCTTGTATTTTTTCATTGTTCTCCCATAACTTTAAATTTCATATTTATAACTTCAAGAAATTTGTGTTTTGATGCCAGATCGACTAATTTTTGTACACCGTTACTTTCGCGCTACAGAAAAACGACGACCTCAACCTGTTGACATCCAAAAGATGCGATGATGATCGCTTAATTTGGCGATTCGTCTAAATTCTCTTTTTTTCACTATCAAAATTTGGGAAGACAAAAATTCCAATCTTTACCCATTGATAAATTCTACGGAAGGTGCGCCGACAATTTTGTTTGTTGATTTGAGAAGGTCGCAACTTTGGATGATTATTTCTTTGCTTAGAAGTTGAATGTTCAAATCTGGAAATAACGAAGTGTTCGGGCGGTTAGTAAAAAATTCTGTAAAATTCGGTTTATCGAGGTGAATTTACTATAACTGTTCTCAGAGCCAACTTCAGTTTATCCAGGTTTAATTAGTGCTTCGTTATATTCAGGTTTGACTGTAATATAAAAAAACAAGTTCCTATCTATCATTTCAAAGCTACTCTTCCGAGTGTTTTTTCTTTTTCCTATCGTGCAACATTATATTGATATAAACTATTCTTTTTCTTAGTCTTCGTTTTTCTCACATAATAATAATATAACCCAAAGGAGAATAATACTAAACTTTAAAGAATATTATTATGGTGAGGAGCAATTATAAGCATTTTTTTATTGTCGGTGACAACATTATGTAGTGCTCTATTCATTGGAAAAGACATGTTTTTTATGAATGCAATTTACAAAAACAATTTCAATGTTGAAAGATAATTTAGAGATTTTTCAGTATCACCTACATCGTTTTCTTTGTTGACATTCAAAAGCTGAATAAAGTTGAATTAATAATAGCAAAGAGACATTCGTTTCATCACAATTACTATCTGAATCTCAAATTCATTATTAGATAAGGGTCTGAACTGAACAGACTTGAAAAGTCGATTCAGGGATCCAGTTCTCTGAAATAAATGGACTGACATTTAGTCATTATTATTCGTTTTCCTCCTTTTGTTTAATAAAAAGAATGGTGTTAGGGAAAATGACAATTACGTAAATATAACTAATCATTGTGTAATCAAACGTGATCGTTACGTGATCAAGCAATTTATGAGATCACGATTTTATCAAAGATGCAACCAATTCTTGAAATAACATATCTATGTCCCTTTTGGATTACGTACAGTGCAAGCAAGACACATATAATCAGCAAGTCTTAATATATGTGGACAAATTTCAGAGGTGACTAAGATCAGTTAGAAAAAGTTACATTTTTGATGCACTTATATATATATAAAGCTCAGACATAATATCACTATTACTAATTTTTGTAGTAACTCCAGCTTAACACTTTGGTTCTCTTAGTTCTCACGTCTTCTTTAGATATAACTTTCTCTTAGACAATTGCACCATTCTTGATGACATACTATAAATATAAACACAATATATTACAAGATATGCTTGGGGCTGCAGATCCGATTTTCCTTTTGTTGTTTCAATAAGATAAACCTTCAAAGAGAACCTGCTGTTTTATCACAGATTATTGCAAATTCGTGATTTATAGTTTATGTTTTGACCAATCAGATATATATATTTTAGATTATCTAATTGCATGAAATTGGTCAAATTTCTATCTTTACTAGTAAAAATAATTGACTTTCAAAAGAATTTAACATTTTCAAACTTAACCAATTGATAAATAGTTTCTATAACTTTATCCTATAATGTATAATTTTGTGAAAAATTTTAAAAATTGCTTACTTTATTTGTTAATAAGTATTTTGCACTAGATTATATAAAGTACAAAAAATATTACTAAATAACTAGTTATTTTTTGTAAGCATTTTTCTTCACATATAATCACAATATTTTAGAACAATTATGAATCTATATATCAAATTCATCAATTTTAAAATTTATACAACAAAGAAATTTCATAGATATTAGTTAGCTTATATTCAATTTTTAAATATTTTTCATTTTTTCTATCATATAATTTTTTCATATTCCAGTTTAATAACTTTTATAAAATAGTAATATTCAAAAATAATGTACTTAAAAAATAAAGTTTGTAATATAATAATATTTTGTATAATATAATATATAACTAGTCTTATTTTAATTAACAAATATGATTTTGAAATGCAATTTAATATTGTATTATAAAGTATATATAAAATCAATTATTTTTTAGTTTGAAAATTTTATAACATGATTTAGTAAATAGATTAAAGTAATCAAATTATTATATATAGTGGTCTATAAAAATAATATATTACTTATATTACTAATTATTGATTATTTAATTTTCACTTATATGTAATCTGATAAATGCAAAAATAATAAATAAATAATATTTAATAATATATTACAAATAGTAAATAAATAGAGATATATTGTTATATCAATTTGTTTATAATTTATATTAATCTGTCAAAATAATAATATATTTTTTTGTTATTTTTATCAAGAATGTAAAAAATATGCTTTAACTTTTTTTGAACATATAAAATCAAAAAGTTTTATAATAAAAAAGATTTTTTTGTATGTATTCTATTAGAATTAACTATTTTTTTTAAAGATTTTAAAATATAATAACTAATAAAAAGTATGAGAATACTTATTAATTATTAATAATAATTTTTTTAAGTATTTATTATATAAAATTAATTTTTTATTAATATAATAATCTTTTATATAATAATTAAACTTGTTTATAATATTAAATTCTATAATATAAAATTTTGTTGTATTTTAAAATATAAATAATTATTTTACAGGTTTTAAAAGAAAAAAATAATTTTTTAAAATTTTTTGTAAATTATTAA